ACATTAAGTATCGTAGATTAAAACAGACAGATCCCACAGATCCTATGTATTAATCATAACCTCTCTAATTCGCTTTGTCGGTTGTGGTTGTTTTTAAGGATATGTGCTCTAAAATGTGCTATTCTGTAAAAAATTGCAAACTTATTTAAAACTAAACGTTTCTGATTAACTAAAAATAAAGTTCGTTAGGTAAAGTGAGGTGTACTTGTTCACATTTGTTATAGTTCATATTTCTTCTTGTCCAAGTTTTACATAAAATATAGTTCTGTTTTTGTTGCTTATGCTAATGACTGGTGTATTTTCATAATTAACATATTCTTGATGGTAGGTCAGAGTGTCATGATTAAATATAATCATGGATCTTGCGTCTACACAAGCAATGGTACTGGATGTTCTACAACGAGCATCAAGTCAAAATTCAGAAATTCTGAAGCCAGCAGAGGCAAAACTAAGTGAATGGGAAATACAACCTGGCTTTTATTCAGTCCTACTGGTATACCTTAAATTATTTGCTAAATCTTAAACTTGATCAATATTTATTTGCAGCAAATAGTTACCAACCATTCTGTGGATGTTAATGTTAGGCTTGTAGCAGTGTTATACCTGAAGAGTGGTGTTGACAAATACTGGCGTAAAAATGCTCCAAAGTAAGTGTCAGTAGTCTTTATGAAATATTATGTAATTGAGCACCTTTTTTCAGTGAAATTTCTGAGGAGGAAAAAAGATCATTGAGACAGGGCTTAGTAACTACCTTTGCAGAACCAGTGAATCAAATTGCCATACAGTTGGGGGTTTTGATTTCAAAAATTGCCAGGTTTGATTGTCCAAGGGAATGGCCAGAGTTGATACCTACACTTATACAAGCTATAGAAAATAATGATCCTTTAATACAGCACCGTGCTTTACTAATATTGTATCATGTAGTTAAAGCCCTTTCTTCCAAGCGTTTAGCAGGTGACAAATTAAAAGTATAATTATGGTTTTGTTCACTGTTTGAATGTGAGTTTCTCTTTGCAGGAGACCGTAGACTTTTTCAGGAACTTAGTGCAAGCATTTTTGCATTTATTTTGAATTTATGGAATACTTTTACAGAAGCATTTGTCACTAGCATTAATCATGACGCAGCAACCGAAATTGTAACAGAAAACTTAGAAAAGGCTCTGCTTAATCTTAGAATATTAAGAAAACTAACAGTATTTGGTTTTCACAAGTTGCATGAAAAACAGGATTGTCTTTGCTTTTTGAAGATGATTTTTGAAAGAGCTAAAACTGCATTAGAGTGTAGTAAGTTTAAAAATTAATTATAGAGCCAAGATTCACTACAGACATCAATTAACAACTTAATTACAGGGAAGCAATTAAGGGGGAAAGGTATATATGTGCTTGAACTATGTGAAAAATTCATAATCCATCTAACTAAAGTCCTTCTGAGCGTATTGGACATGCATCCCATATCTTTTGTTAGTTTTATTCGTCCCACATTAGAGTTTACAGTTTTTTATCTGTTTACTACTGAAGGAACTCAGTACACGTATGAACGATTTATCATTCAGTGTCTAAACTTGATAAAAGGTATTCTCTTATGTTCTGAATACAAATTAGCAAAAATACCGGAATTAACGAAAGATATTGCCCAAGAGGCGAACCAAATAAAAGTTTCTTTCTTTCAACCTGAAATTCTTACCGATATTTGTCGCAAAATTGTTTCGCATTACATGCTTTTAAAAAGGGATGATTTGGAGTTGTGGGACGCTGATCCCGAAACCTTTGCCAATGATGAAGTAGGAGAAAGCTGGAAATACAGTTTAAGGGTAAATATTAATTCTTGAATCATTTTTTGAAGTCTAAACAATTTTTTTGATAGCCTTGTGTTGAGACGGTTTTCGTGACCTTATTTCATGAATACCGGGACACTTTGGCCCCCGTGATGGTGGAGATGATAAAGGAGACAGCAACTGTAGTGGATGTTCACGATCTTTCGGGAATTTTAAAAAAAGACGCTGTTTATAATGCAGTCGGATTGGGAGCTTATGATCTTTATGATGAGGTAATATTCGTTGTGCATCCATTGCAAGTAGATTTGCTTTTTACGATCCATAAAAGTGATCAATTTATAGATCGATTTTGACCAATGGTTCACGAACACCTTAGTCCAAGAGTTGAAAGTAAAAGACCCTAATTATCGCATAATTCGACGAAGAGTGTCACGCTTAATTGGCAATTGGACTGGGATTAAGCTCTCTACAGATTTGCGACCACTTCTTTACGAGTGTATTATAAACCTCTTGGGCTCCGATGAGGACATGGCAGTCAGATTGACCACCTCAACTACCCTCAGGCATGCCGTAGACGACTTTGAATTCAACGCTGAGCAGTTTAGACCCTATTTAGACACTACGTTCAATCTTCTATTTAGTCTCTTGAAAGAAACCACAGAATGCGAGACTAAAGTAATGATTATTAATTTTTTTTTGGGATTATGTAGTAATTGTAAATTTTAAATTTATTAGATGCACGTTTTGAACGTGATGACCCTTGTGGTAGAAAGGGTGGGTCAGACAATTCAACCTCACACTGAAGCTCTCATACATTATCTGCCTCTGCTCTGGAAGGAATCGGAGGAGCATAACATGCTCAGATGCGCCATTGTGTCCACTCTTGTGCAACTAGTCAAAGCCCTGGGACCCGCCAGTGCCGAACTCAACCCCTTCTTGTTACCAATCATTCAACTGGGCACCGACACAAAACAAGGTAAAAACCGTCGTTTTTCTCATCATAAAATAATTTTATTACCAAATTAAGATATAAAATTTTTGTATTTTTTTTAAAGGCGCTATAGTCTACTTGCTTGAAGATTGTTTGGAACTGTGGCTGACTGTTTTGGAAAACACCAGTAACATGACCAATCAGCTGATGCAGCTGTTTGATAACATGCCTAATTTGTTAGGCAAGTACAAACTTTTATTGATTTGGATTAAACGTTCTGTAAATAATTGTGTCTTTTATCGTAGATTATTCAACTGAGACGCTGCACTGTTGCTTGGTTATTATTTTGGCACATATGCTGATAGCTCCCGAGCTTGTTATGAAGACTCAGGGACTGCAGTTGATGACTGCTTGCGACTCTTTAATGGCGGACATGCGTTCGGAGGGTATTTTAATGCTTACGCGTGTCGTCGAGAACTTTATACGTGCGTCACCCAATCTTGGCTGCGAAACCGTGAAGGTCATCCTGCCTAGGATCTTCCAGTAAGTTTCTTTCTCTATCCTAACAAAGCTTTAGTTTGCTTAATTCGGTTGTTTTGCTTTTCAGGTCAATTTACCAAACTGATACCATGCCAATGTTACTTTCCATGTATTTGTCCATTGTGGCTAGGGTTCTTCTTTCATCCCATGGGATATTTACCGAAATTATAAGCTTGGTGGCGAGAAAAGAGAATAACAACGAACATAACGTCCTTGCCTCTATTTTGGACGTCTGGATTTCCAAGATGAGTAACGTAACAAACATCGAACGAAGAAAACTTGTTGGTAGGTTTTCATGAAAATTTAGACTAGTATCTTTTCCCTAATTACTCTATTCTGTCTCTCTTTTCTAAAGGTCTAGCTCTTGTGAATTTATTGACAACTCAAAGTCGACCCGTTATGGAACGTTTTAAGGGTATAATAGAGAGAATATTGGAAGTTCTTCATGACGTAAGTAAAACGGATGAGAATGGTGCAACGGTGGATTCGTTGGTGCTGACGGAAGGACAGAGCCCTAGCCATTTCCAGCCGGAATCTGAAAATTATGAGACTGACCACGACCAGAGGAAGAAGCAGTTGATCTTATTGGATCCAGTCCACAACATCGTATTGAAGGATTACTTCCAGTCACAGGTAGGATTTTATTTTTTGTATTTAGGAAAAAAATTGCTAAGACACAGACGTGGCATTTTAGCTCTTGGAGCTGCAAAGGCAAATAGGTCCGGTCAATTTTGAACAGATGTTGCAAATGGTTGATCCAGACGTTTTGTTGCAGATTAAAAAATACTACTTTAAATTGTGAACGTAATAATCAGTTCATTTCACCTTCCACCCCCCTTCCCTGCGTCACACGTCACTGTTTTTTATTGTGCCTGATTAAGTTTCTAATCTTATACATATTATACATATATTTATGTAAATAAAGCCTTTAATTTTCCATTTTACAGCGATTTCCTTCAAGTTTCTAAAAACAAATACCCGCCTGTAATCGGTCCGAGACCCAATCAATATTTTTTCCTTGTTACTCTTTCTAATATATAAAACTCCCAATGAAAGTAATAAAAATACTCTATTAAATAACGTTAAAACTAACTACATTGAAAACTACGTCAATTATCATCGTTGTATAAATTACTTACATTCTAATTAATAAATACTTTTATGAATTGTTACAAATAATCTTCGTCTGTCATTTCTCCCGATCCTGGATCATAATCAAGATCATCGATTAGGTCGTTCAAGTGCTGTAATGTGGATTCTGTTATTTGAGTGTCCTGAAATTCTCCAATTTCTTCGCGACTTTTCTTTCGTACAATTTGTGGCGGAAAATTTTCTTCCGTCCAATGGTGTTGAACGGGTGGCACGGTTGCTGCTTTCTCATGTCTGAAATGGTGTCGTTTCCTGTGCTTCAGTTTGCATTCTTTCAGTGCAGCGTCGTAATCAAATTTGGGTGGTCTTAAAAGTGTTGCAAATGTACTAATCATCATCTAATTATTAATTAAGTAATATTTACTTTTCTCCGTTGATGTAAACCTTGTTTTGTAAGTGGACTAAATCATGTCTCAGCTCTGCTAGAAGAAGTAGAACAAAATCTATGTTTCCTCGTTCTCCTTTAGGCCCTCTAGGACCACGATCTCCTTGTTCCCCTTTGGGTCCTCTTGCTCCAGGTGGTCCAGGTTCACCCTAAATATAACTCTGTCTATTAAAGCTTTCTGTAAATTAATCTAATGCTTACTTGCATCCCCCTTTTGCATCTGCAAAAGGCTGAATCGTCCCCCGATAGTGGGACGAAAGCATCTAATTCCGAGTAACCAAATCCTTGTTGATTTTGCATTAGCGTCGAAGATGAGGCTCCTTCAGGGCCTGAAATTACGTTAAAATAACAAGTATTGGTCGTGTCAAAAAAGTGATCTATTTAATTTACCAGGAAATCCCCGAGGTCCTTGTGGTCCAGGGGGTCCTGGAGGACCGGTTGGACCCGGTGGACCTGAGGCAAAACTGGACATTTTTACCGCTGTACTTAATCCTGACACCTGAAATTATTTTTCTATCAGAACAAATATTTTTTTTAACATTGTTTACACACCTTTTCTTGTAAATTTCGGTATTTTTCATGTAATTGGCTAACGGTGTCACAACTTGCATAGCATCTGTCCCTATGAGCAGCCATTTCCATTTCTACACCGTTTGACTGAGGATTTACGGTGCACGTTTTGTTGTCCTCCCTTAAGACATATCCTTCCCTGCAGGCGCACCTGTAGCCCCCTTTTTCATTAATACAGTCTTGTTCGCAGTCGTTAGAATTGCCATCTTGACATTCGTTAATGTCTAAAATGTGTTTTTCTAATAAATATATGTATTATGAGGTTTTTTCTGATGCTTACCAATACATGTTGGTTTGATTCCTTTTTTTTGATTTTCTGGGCTGAATTTATAGCCTTCATAACAGGTGCAAATGACTCTTTGAAAAAATACAGTACAACGTTGTTCACAAGGTTTTAGGGAACACGGGTCTTCGTTTTTATAAATACAACTTAAAGGTTCAATATTCAGATCAGTAAATAATTGATAAATGTAATTTTCGTTTACATACCTCCCTGCAACAAATATGTAGTCTTTACAGCAATGTTTTCTAGTACAATCCACCCATTTTCCTTTTACTTCACATTTATATCTTGTTGTTATAACATTGTTAGATGGACATGTTAGGGTATCAGGACTAAAAGACAAAGTCATAAAACTTTTCTGGTAATTTTTACACGAAAATAATACTTACCCCAAATTGTAAGAAACTTCGTTTAAAGAGTCTAAATAGTAGCCGTCATCTTCTACTGTTGTAATTTTTTTGGAGACACAATTAATTACCACAAAAACAAGAAGTAACACTTCCTTCCATAAATTCTGTACCATAATTATTATATTTTGTATTACTTCTTTTCAAACTGCTATGCTTAAAACATTTAGTTCAGTCATTTTTTCTGATGTTTTTCCTATATTAAAGATCCCAAAAGTACAATTATTACAATACTTTTAATGGACATTGTAATATGTAACAAGTTTCACTTTCGAAACAACGCATTTTAATTAATTCGTTAAAAGCAAAAATAATTGATTACAAAAAAGGAAAGACGCTCTTTTACATTTAAGTACATTACAACGTATCTATTTCATTAAATAACACTTAGTAGTTAAGTTGTTGCTTGAGTTAAGTTGTTTTAATTTGAGTCATGTTCCACATGTTTTAATTAGTCCAATGAAAAAGGCATAGGAAGTGTATCTTCTGTTACAGACATGACTGCAAGGCCATACGAAACGTTTAAAGGCACAAATACACACACACACACACACATATATATATAAGACAATCATTGGTAATTGTGCCAAGAAATCCTAATTAATTGATCCGAGCGACGCAATAAATTTAAATAAGTAACGCAATCTTGTTTGAAGTGCATAAGATGACTCATTTAAAAGAATTTTTCCCTTGTACCGATTTAAAGATAAATTCTACGTGTCTTAATTATAAATAATTTGAGATAGGTAGAGGGAAACCTTGGAGCTTTGAAGAAACTTATAATAAGCGAAATGCCAATAGGAAAGTTTTGCGTTAACTTTTTCAATTAATTGTATAACTACGGAAAAATTTTATTTATTGACGTAAATTGAAGTTATTAGTTAACTAATAATTTTTTATAATTCACTACCAGTTTTAAGCATTTTGAATTCATAACGGATGCGGTCTGGATCCGTTTTATTATGGGCGTAAAAAAGCCAACAGATGTACAGAGACGTCAATGATCTCATAATAAACAAAGAGCCATTCAAAGAATCCAGCCTGTTAATATGACGTTACGTAACAAGTTTCATTGCTAACTTTAATAAAGAGGGAAAATTCCACCGGTACTGTAGTCTTCTTTTTTGTATTATGATAAATCTAATTAAAAGCCCTTTCTTTTCTCTGTTAAATATCTTTTGAGTGTCATATTCTCCATACATTTAAAATAATTGCTTTACTGTCGATTAAAAATATTATTTAATATTAGTTTGCATTTTACATTAAAACTGCAACGATTTCTTCTTCACAAATTTATTTTTTTAATAAAAAAAATTACATATTCAATATGTTACTTGATCGAATTGATATTTCATTTAAAAATCGTTTCTATTGAGCTATGGCAGCGTTGGCAGCTATACTCGGATTGTTAACAACTTCCCCTAAACTTTCTAATAATTCTTTTCTGTAATCGTCGAAATCGCCATCTAATTCGTTAATAGTTTGATCTTCGATTATAAATAACGTACAATTTGTTTCCCTAATAAGTCGTTCGTCGTGAGACACAATAATTACGCCCCCTTTATATTCGTTTATGGCGTCCGCTAAGGCATCGATCGATTCAATATCTAAATTGTTTGTGGGTTCGTCCTGAAAATTAGATATCAAATTAAACAGATGTCGTAATAGGGGATAAAGGGGTTCTTTACCAATATAAGAACATCAGGGGCGTTCAAGCAAAGTTCTGCCATAGCAACTCGAGCTTTTTGACCCCCAGAGAGATCTTTCATTTTTATAGTATGAGCGTGACTTGCAAGTCCGAAAGTACCCAATTGCTTTCTCGCTTTTTCATAGGGTAAATCGAATAATCTCATTAAATATTCCGAGGGCGTTTCTTCTGCTGTTAAATGTTCCCCTGAATGCTGGTCAAATCGCCCCACCCTCTGAAACATTTACAGGTGTAAAAGAAATTTTAAATATCTTTATTGTAGTACTTACCAAACGATGGTTTTTCCTCACTTCTCCCTGTGGAGGCGTAATATCCCCTACTAGAATTTTCAAAAATGTCGATTTTCCCACCCCATTGGGCCCCACTATTGCTACGCGACTGTTCAAGTCTATGCCAAAATCTGTATTTACAAAAAGTGGTTTTTGACCTGGATATGCAAACGTTACATCTGAAGAAAGTAGTAATTAATTAATTGATTAATTCACATATTTGTACAGAGCATACGTACTGTGCATTCCTAAAATAGGGGGCTGCAGTGGAGGAGGGTCAGGGAACGAGAATTTTACAATATAATCTTTAGGTTTTTGCAGTAATTCAGTTGCATTAGTTTCTTCTTCTTGCTTTTGCATCTTGGTTCTGTTCTTTTCTTGCTTTCTTGTCAATGCTTCTTTTTGCTTTTTCTCCTATATAAATTAAGTATCATTTCAGTGTTTCAATAATATTAATTAAATCGCTATTCCTTACAGCCTGCTTCTTAGAAGATCCGTGAGCCTTTAGCTCTTTTATTCTTTTCTCCTGCTTCTCATATTCCTTAATCATTTCCTTTCGTTTTTGAACAAACATTTTCTTAAACATCGAGTAATTTCCCTTATAATAATAAAGTTTCTGATTGTCCAAATGAATTATTTCATTACAAACGTTATCTAAAAACGACTGGTCGTGAGACACTATAAGCAACGTTTTCTTCCAATTTTGTAAATAACTAAAAAGGAAATTATATTACTTAAAAGAAATTTTTATAAGATCGTTAATATGGATCATTACTTGTCAAGCCAAATTACAGCATTTAAGTCTAAATGATTCGTAGGCTCGTCAAGAAGTAACAGAGTTGGTTCAATAAATAAAGCCCTTGCTAAAGACACCCTCATTCTCCAACCACCTGAGAAATTTTTGGTAGGTCTGTCCTTCAATTTAGTCAAAAAATAAATAAAATTGGTTAATTTTTCATTACAAAAAATATTCTAGACGTTTTACCTGCATTTCTTTCGTGAATCCTAAACCAGCCAAGATCCTTCTTGCTCTTGGTTCTGCAGAATCAGCCCCAATCGCCTTCAGTTCCGCGTAAACTTCGTTAAGCTTTGTTTGTGCTTCCATTGTGCCCCCTTGGAAAGCTTCTTCCAGTTTTTTACATTCTGCAAGAAGTTCTGTACGTTTTACGTCCGCTTTTAAAACAGATTCGACAGCTGTAAAATCGTCAGCAACTACTTCTTGTTCACAGTAAAGAATGTCGATGTTTGGTGGAATTGCAAAGGCTCTTTGAGCTATGTGACGTAACAAGGTTGTTTTACCATGACTTAAATTTTAAAAACTGATTGCTGTAGCTTGTAGTGAAAATTGATAATGAAAGGCATGTATATCTTACCCATTTGGTCCCACAAGACCATAGTGTCTACCATTGGCTATAATAAGACTTGCATTAACAAATAAGTCATTGCCCTTTGCTGATATACTGAAATTTTCAATTTTTATGTCAACTGCATTTTCTAAAGCTGCCATTTGTCCTGCAGATTTTTGAGCTTGCGAAACAGTAAAGTTGGAGTCCAATTCAGAATGTCCCTGTCCCCCTTTCTTCAACATTGTTTCCATTTGCTTTTCATATTCTTGCTGCTTCTTTAATTTCTTCTTTTCCTTGTGAGTCAATTTCTTTTCAGATGTTGAATCCAAGTTTAAAGATGCAATATTTTCATTTAGTGAATTTTCTTCCTCATTTTCTTCTTTAAAGTTTTTGCCATTTTCTTCTTGATTTATTTCCTCTTTGACTTCCTTTTTCTTATCCTTTTTCTTTGACTTTGAGTGTTTCTGTTCAATCTCGAGCTCTTGTGTCTTCTCTACAATTTCCACTGGTTCAGGAGATTTACTGCTATCTTTTTCATCATTATTTTCCTGATTACTTTCTTTAAGTTCTTCTTTATTCTTATTTTGGACAGCTTTGATTTCTTCATTATATTCTTCTTTCAAAAGGACTTCATTTTCATTTTCACTAATTGGTTTATTCTCTTCTATGTCAACTTTATCAATTTCCAAGTTGTCTTCATCATTTTCAGACTCAGAAAAGTCCTTTTTCTTGTCTTTTTTCTTTTTACTCTTCTTTGCTGCAGGTTTAACTTCTTCTTCAATATCTTCATTCAAATCTAATTCTTTTTCATCTTCAGAGTCAGAAAAGACCTTTTTTTTATCTTTCTTCTTTTTACTCTTTTTACCTATAGGTTTAATCTCTTCCACCTTTTCTTTTGCTAGGTCTACATCTTCTCCTTCATTTTCAGAATCAGAGAACCCCTTTTTCTTATCCTTTTTCTTTTTAGCTTTTTTAACAATTAGTTTTGTGAATTCTTCATCAGGAACTTTGAGATCTAAATCTTTATCATCTTCATCATCAGAGAGGTCTTTTTTCTTGCCTTTTTTCTTTTTATCCTTTTTGGATACAGATTTTACTACTTCCTCCTCTGTTTTCTTCATGTCCTTATCACTTTCATTGTCTGACCGATCATCAGCTTTTTTGTTCTTCCCTTTAAATTGAAACATAGCTTAATAAGGTATTTGAATGATAAAAAAATTAACATATAACGCTTCCAGACTAATTAATTAGGCAAGTCCCAAATGTTATTTCACAGTTTTATATGCAATTCTTTTCATCAAAATTGGACCAATTTCATACCTTTCTTTTGATTTTTCTTTTTGGTATCATTCTCTTGAACCATTACTTGATTATTAACCGTTTTTTCATTATCCTCGTCACTCCAGTCCCCAGTTCCTTTGCCTTTTTTCTTACCAGCTGCTTTAGAAACTGAATTCTGTTTTTCGTTTTTTATACTCTTGCTTGCATCTTCGAAATCATCTTCAAAATCTTGCTTCTTTTTGTTTCCACGTTTTTTAGACATTTTTACAAATTATTGGGTAATTTCTGAACAAATTAAACTTTCGTAACTGATATTTTTAGTTGTTAACCTAACCAAAAAGCCTATGCAACGTGATGTCTACAGTAAACGTCAAAATTTCACATAGATAATAATATAGAGTATATTTTATCTATGCCTTGATTTTATTTGGTACGCAAAATTTAAAGATGGTATTATAATCATAGATTAGTTCATAGAGAACATTAAGTATCGTNCTGGAAGGAATCGGAGGAGCATAACATGCTCAGATGCGCCATTGTGTCCACTCTTGTGCAACTAGTCAAAGCCCTGGGACCCGCCAGTGCCGAACTCAACCCCTTCTTGTTACCAATCATTCAACTGGGCACCGACACAAAACAAGGTAAAAACCGTCGTTTTTCTCATCATAAAATAATTTTATTACCAAATTAAGATATAAAATTTTTGTATTTTTTTTAAAGGCGCTATAGTCTACTTGCTTGAAGATTGTTTGGAACTGTGGCTGACTGTTTTGGAAAACACCAGTAACATGACCAATCAGCTGATGCAGCTGTTTGATAACATGCCTAATTTGTTAGGCAAGTACAAACTTTTATTGATTTGGATTAAACGTTCTGTAAATAATTGTGTCTTTTATCGTAGATTATTCAACTGAGACGCTGCACTGTTGCTTGGTTATTATTTTGGCACATATGCTGATAGCTCCCGAGCTTGTTATGAAGACTCAGGGACTGCAGTTGATGACTGCTTGCGACTCTTTAATGGCGGACATGCGTTCGGAGGGTATTTTAATGCTTACGCGTGTCGTCGAGAACTTTATACGTGCGTCACCCAATCTTGGCTGCGAAACCGTGAAGGTCATCCTGCCTAGGATCTTCCAGTAAGTTTCTTTCTCTATCCTAACAAAGCTTTAGTTTGCTTAATTCGGTTGTTTTGCTTTTCAGGTCAATTTACCAAACTGATACCATGCCAATGTTACTTTCCATGTATTTGTCCATTGTGGCTAGGGTTCTTCTTTCATCCCATGGGATATTTACCGAAATTATAAGCTTGGTGGCGAGAAAAGAGAATAACAACGAACATAACGTCCTTGCCTCTATTTTGGACGTCTGGATTTCCAAGATGAGTAACGTAACAAACATCGAACGAAGAAAACTTGTTGGTAGGTTTTCATGAAAATTTAGACTAGTATCTTTTCCCTAATTACTCTATTCTGTCTCTCTTTTCTAAAGGTCTAGCTCTTGTGAATTTATTGACAACTCAAAGTCGACCCGTTATGGAACGTTTTAAGGGTATAATAGAGAGAATATTGGAAGTTCTTCATGACGTAAGTAAAACGGATGAGAATGGTGCAACGGTGGATTCGTTGGTGCTGACGGAAGGACAGAGCCCTAGCCATTTCCAGCCGGAATCTGAAAATTATGAGACTGACCACGACCAGAGGAAGAAGCAGTTGATCTTATTGGATCCAGTCCACAACATCGTATTGAAGGATTACTTCCAGTCACAGGTAGGATTTTATTTTTTGTATTTAGGAAAAAAATTGCTAAGACACAGACGTGGCATTTTAGCTCTTGGAGCTGCAAAGGCAAATAGGTCCGGTCAATTTTGAACAGATGTTGCAAATGGTTGATCCAGACGTTTTGTTGCAGATTAAAAAATACTACTTTAAATTGTGAACGTAATAATCAGTTCATTTCACCTTCCACCCCCCTTCCCTGCGTCACACGTCACTGTTTTTTATTGTGCCTGATTAAGTTTCTAATCTTATACATATTATACATATATTTATGTAAATAAAGCCTTTAATTTTCCATTTTACAGCGATTTCCTTCAAGTTTCTAAAAACAAATACCCGCCTGTAATCGGTCCGAGACCCAATCAATATTTTTTCCTTGTTACTCTTTCTAATATATAAAACTCCCAATGAAAGTAATAAAAATACTCTATTAAATAACGTTAAAACTAACTACATTGAAAACTACGTCAATTATCATCGTTGTATAAATTACTTACATTCTAATTAATAAATACTTTTATGAATTGTTACAAATAATCTTCGTCTGTCATTTCTCCCGATCCTGGATCATAATCAAGATCATCGATTAGGTCGTTCAAGTGCTGTAATGTGGATTCTGTTATTTGAGTGTCCTGAAATTCTCCAATTTCTTCGCGACTTTTCTTTCGTACAATTTGTGGCGGAAAATTTTCTTCCGTCCAATGGTGTTGAACGGGTGGCACGGTTGCTGCTTTCTCATGTCTGAAATGGTGTCGTTTCCTGTGCTTCAGTTTGCATTCTTTCAGTGCAGCGTCGTAATCAAATTTGGGTGGTCTTAAAAGTGTTGCAAATGTACTAATCATCATCTAATTATTAATTAAGTAATATTTACTTTTCTCCGTTGATGTAAACCTTGTTTTGTAAGTGGACTAAATCATGTCTCAGCTCTGCTAGAAGAAGTAGAACAAAATCTATGTTTCCTCGTTCTCCTTTAGGCCCTCTAGGACCACGATCTCCTTGTTCCCCTTTGGGTCCTCTTGCTCCAGGTGGTCCAGGTTCACCCTAAATATAACTCTGTCTATTAAAGCTTTCTGTAAATTAATCTAATGCTTACTTGCATCCCCCTTTTGCATCTGCAAAAGGCTGAATCGTCCCCCGATAGTGGGACGAAAGCATCTAATTCCGAGTAACCAAATCCTTGTTGATTTTGCATTAGCGTCGAAGATGAGGCTCCTTCAGGGCCTGAAATTACGTTAAAATAACAAGTATTGGTCGTGTCAAAAAAGTGATCTATTTAATTTACCAGGAAATCCCCGAGGTCCTTGTGGTCCAGGGGGTCCTGGAGGACCGGTTGGACCCGGTGGACCTGAGGCAAAACTGGACATTTTTACCGCTGTACTTAATCCTGACACCTGAAATTATTTTTCTATCAGAACAAATATTTTTTTTAACATTGTTTACACACCTTTTCTTGTAAATTTCGGTATTTTTCATGTAATTGGCTAACGGTGTCACAACTTGCATAGCATCTGTCCCTATGAGCAGCCATTTCCATTTCTACACCGTTTGACTGAGGATTTACGGTGCACGTTTTGTTGTCCTCCCTTAAGACATATCCTTCCCTGCAGGCGCACCTGTAGCCCCCTTTTTCATTAATACAGTCTTGTTCGCAGTCGTTAGAATTGCCATCTTGACATTCGTTAATGTCTAAAATGTGTTTTTCTAATAAATATATGTATTATGAGGTTTTTTCTGATGCTTACCAATACATGTTGGTTTGATTCCTTTTTTTTGATTTTCTGGGCTGAATTTATAGCCTTCATAACAGGTGCAAATGACTCTTTGAAAAAATACAGTACAACGTTGTTCACAAGGTTTTAGGGAACACGGGTCTTCATTTTTATAAATACAACTTAAAGGTTCAATATTCAGATCAGTAAATAATTGATAAATGTAATTTTCGTTTACATACCTCCCTGCAACAAATATGTAGTCTTTACAGCAATGTTTTCTAGTACAATCCACCCATTTTCCTTTTACTTCACATTTATATCTTGTTGTTATAACATTGTTAGATGGACATGTTAGGGTATCAGGACTAAAAGACAAAGTCATAAAACTTTTCTGGTAATTTTTACACGAAAATAATACTTACCCCAAATTGTAAGAAACTTCGTTTAAAGAGTCTAAATAGTAGCCGTCATCTTCTACTGTTGTAATTTTTTTGGAGACACAATTAATTACCACAAAAACAAGAAGTAACACTTCCTTCCATAAATTCTGTACCATAATTATTATATTTTGTATTACTTCTTTTCAAACTGCTATGCTTAAAACATTTAGTTCAGTCATTTTTTCTGATGTTTTTCCTATATTAAAGATCCCAAAAGTACAATTATTACAATACTTTTAATGGACATTGTAATATGTAACAAGTTTCACTTTCGAAACAACGCATTTTAATTAATTCGTTAAAAGCAAAAATAATTGATTACAAAAAAGGAAAGACGCTCTTTTACATTTAAGTACATTACAACGTATCTATTTCATTAAATAACACTTAGTAGTTAAGTTGTTGCTTGAGTTAAGTTGTTTTAATTTGAGTCATGTTCCACATGTTTTAATTAGTCCAATGAAAAAGGCATAGGAAGTGTATCTTCTGTTACAGACATGACTGCAAGGCCATACGAAACGTTTAAAGGCACAAATACACACACACACACACACATATATATATAAGACAATCATTGGTAATTGTGCCAAGAAATCCTAATTAATTGATCCGAGCGACGCAATAAATTTAAATAAGTAACGCAATCTTGTTTGAAGTGCATAAGATGACTCATTTAAAAGAATTTTTCCCTTGTACCGATTTAAAGATAAATTCTACGTGTCTTAATTATAAATAATTTGAGATAGGTAGAGGGAAACCTTGGAGCTTTGAAGAAACTTATAATAAGCGAAATGCCAATAGGAAAGTTTTGCGTTAACTTTTTCAATTAATTGTATAACTACGGAAAAATTTTATTTATTGACGTAAATTGAAGTTATTAGTTAACTAATAATTTTTTATAATTCACTACCAGTTTTAAGCATTTTGAATTCATAACGGATGCGGTCTGGATCCGTTTTATTATGGGCGTAAAAAAGCCAACAGATGTACAGAGACGTCAATGATCTCATAATAAACAAAGAGCCATTCAAAGAATCCAGCCTGTTAATATGACGTTACGTAACAAGTTTCATTGCTAACTTTAATAAAGAGGGAAAATTCCACCGGTACTGTAGTCTTCTTTTTTGTATTATGATAAATCTAATTAAAAGCCCTTTCTTTTCTCTGTTAAATATCTTTTGAGTGTCATATTCTCCATACATTTAAAATAATTGCTTTACTGTCGATTAAAAATATTATTTAATATTAGTTTGCATTTTACATTAAAACTGCAACGATTTCTTCTTCACAAATTTATTTTTTTAATAAAAAAAATTACATATTCAATATGTTACTTGATCGAATTGATATTTCATTTAAAAATCGTTTCTATTGAGCTATGGCAGCGTTGGCAGCTATACTCGGATTGTTAACAACTTCCCCTAAACTTTCTAATAATTCTTTTCTG